ATTGGTTTAATACTCTTATGATGGCAGTGGCCAATCAACTTAAGTGCTTCTCAAATATTTCACGGGATACCTACTCTTAAGCATAGATTGATGTGGGAAAATGTCAGTTTTTGTCTCTGCCGGAATACCCCAATTTTCCATAATCTTCACCCACAAAAATGTTTCTTTTAATTTTACGTAGAAGTTTTGTTGTTCTTTTGCCAATGAATAGATTAATTTGCCAACAGAGAATGAGGCCGGAGCAGGTGGAATGTCATGATTATTATATTCCTAGTAAGTAATCTTCTAAAGTAGTTCTGATAAATTGATGATTACATGAGCTCTCATTGTCACCAACAACCCAAGGTGAGGGAGGAAAGGGGAAGAGGGAAGAGTTGATGCATCATAAATCATTAACTAAGATTCTTAATCAATAATTAATGTAAGGGTCAAAGAAGTATAGGAAAATGAATAATGGTTAGCTTTATGTTAGAGGAAAGTAAAGGCTACGGAAGCTTTTGTTCTTATACCCCAACAATTGAATCGAATGTCCACTGTCTATACTTGCGGTTTGCTCCTCATTTCAAATGTTTGTCTGACAGATGACCTCTTGCATCTCTTTCTTTCCAAGGCACGACACCTTTCTGCAATTGCAATTTTCCCATCGTCTAAAACCGGCACTTTTTTAACTAAATATTTACTAGTTACAAGAATAGATTCGTCATGGACTATCTTGAATTTTTTTTTAAATGTTGTTATTCATATGGCTACTTATAAAAAGTTATGTAATACTTATATTACGAGGGGCAGAACTATAATATTAGCTACAAGATCAGACGAATTTAGTAACTTTAGCTTAAACTTTGTATTTGTATTGGAACATCAATTAAATATGTATAAATATATAATTGAACCCAGTAATTGAGCTACGATTTTGACGATAAATTCAAAAATACAAACTTCAAGCGGCTTCGCCTCCGTTAATATTACCATGTATGTTACATTACATTAATTTTGCCTTCTTTATGTAATTGTTGTAAATTTTTGGTGGCATCGTCTTGGCGCAGTATCCCCCACAAGAAGTTGAAAATAAAAATGAACGCTATATATAATGTACGTCAGTCCAAACACTACAAACATTTGACACCGAAACAATAAAACTAAAAATTCTTTCGAATGGGCTAGACATTACAGACTCAGTCAAAAACACAAGGATTCGACTTGAGGAGAGAGGATCGAGCTTTATTCCAAATTAGTTTTGATGATTAACAAATAATGAATAAAGAACCAGATCTATTGAGATGTTTGTTGTGCTTATAAACAAGGATATGATTTGTCAAGCAGATGTCGAAGAACCGGGTCCCTTGGAGTATACTAATCAGAAGCTATAAACTGATTCCTAATGTAAGTAGGATTCCTTGAAGGATTTATTTTGTAGACTACAAGTATTATAGCAGTTAAAGAAATTCATGATCAATAAGAATTCATTAATTTAACACTTGCATAAAAGTAAGATGATTGTGAAGTTGGAGATATTTAATAAAACCAAGTCTTATTGGGATTGTTTTCCTTAACCTAAATATTCTAAAGTTTAGAGCAAAAGTTGGAGAAATTTTCTGCCAACCTCACTCCTATGCAAACCATTAGGTTGCCCATGTTACTTTGGTCCCTGTGAGCATAGGCACCCGAATTTGGTGTTTGGTTTGAACACATGGCCTGTGTAAGGCACATGAATTTGTGATGTGAGGTATTGAGAATGGATCCTGAGTATGCATATCTACATATTTTTGACTCATGCAGTGGCTTTTATGTAAATATCGGTTGATACATATCATGTTGTTATGCGAGAATTGAGGTATTTGATATCTGATTTGATCTCCCTTTCTCTATAAAACATGCCTATATTCCATGTGTACTTTTTCTCTAGCCTTTATATATATTTGATATTACCATGCTTTACTTCGTATCTTATTCATGTTTTTACCTGATTATTTGACTGTTAGTAAGTGTCAGTATCGACCCCTCGCCACCACTTTTTCGAGGCTAGACTTGATAGTTACTGAGTTCCGCGGTTATGTACTCATACAACACTTCTACACATTTTTGTGCAGGTTCTAAGACAGGTATTAGTGGTACCCATCCAGCTGAGTAAAAGTGTTTTCTAGAGACTTCGTGGTGAGATACCTTACTTGATTCGATCTATAGCACTTGGAGTTCCCCTTCCGTACTTAGTCAGCTCTGTCTACTTATTTCCTTTTCTGACATATGTTATTGTCGGTTGTTACTATTACTCTTGTTAGATGCTTGGGACATTATAACACCGAATTTTGGGCATTTTTAGACAGTTGTTGTCGCGTTTAGACCTTGTTTGGGATTCATGTACCTTTGTTATTGATTTACGACTTATTATGTTTTGATAATTATATCATGAATCCGTTAATTGTTTAATAATTAGACTTTATTATTGTTGTTGAGTGGTGGCTTGCCTAGCAAGTACGTTAGGCGCCATCATGATCTTTAGTGGGATTTTGGGTCGTGACAAATTGGTATTAGAGCTCTAGGTGCTAAGGGTCTCCCAAGTCACGAGCAGGCCTAGTAGAGTCTTGTGGATCGGTACAGAAATGTCAGTATCTATTCGCGAGCGGCTCTAGGGCTTCAGGAAAATTTCCCTTTCTTGATTCCTTAACGTACGACTTTATTTTGGCTTGAATCCTATAGCTTCTGTTCATTCGTATGCAATGTTGAGTACTCGATATCGGTTGGGAACCGGCAAGTTGTGTCACGATCCAAAATTTCATCACAGGCGACGTGATCACCTAGTCTCTAAGACTAGGTATGTCGATTACTTACAACACTTAAGCCAGTTTTTAACAATGATAATTTAAACAAAGTTTAATATGAATACCGAAACAAAATCAAAATAAGCCTACGCGGTAATAATCATAACAACCTCCCAAGATTAGGTAATATGGAGTCACGAACTCTAGTTGTATACATGTAAAGATCTCAAAGATCGAAATACAATACTCTTCAAATAACAAGCTGATAGTACAATGAAAGGAAAGGACTCTAAGGGATTGCGACAACCAAGCAGCTATACCTTGAATCCTCACGATCAATAAGTTAACTCTGCCCGAGTTCGATATCTCTAATACTGGCTTTGCACAAAAATATGTAGAATCCTCTCCAAAATCGAACAAATCCGTTTGTGCTCCACAACTCAAAATGTGATAAAATGAGCTCAAGGTTCGAAATAGAGTACTTATGTGCACTGCCCAATGGTACCCTACGCGATTGTGGTTGTACCCTCACGATCGCGATGCATAAAATCCCACTACCATAATTTACACTATGCATTCGCAGCATAATCCTCGCGAACACGATGAACACATCAGCCAGACCTTCGCGAACGCGGTCAAACTTACGCGAACGTCGAAGAAGAATTCCTCACGACTGCCCAGCCTAACTCAACGCTACGCGAACGAGTAGACCTGGATACAAACACGATAAATACCAGCCCTAACACTACGCGAACGCAAAGACAGGGACGCGAACGCGAAGAAGAAATCAAGCACCAAAAAATCAGCAGAAACCAGCAGAACTAACATGGCCTAAAATGGTCTGAAACCCATCTGAAACTCACCCGAGCCCCCCGGGTACCCGTACGAACATATCAACATGTACAGAAATATAATACGGACCTATTCCTAGCCTCAAATTTCGCATAACAACATCAAAACCATGAATCGCACCTCAAATCAAACTTATTGAACCTTTGAACTTTCAACCTCCAAAACTCGTGCCGAACCATATCAAATCAACTCGGAATGACCTCATATTTTGTACACTAGTTCTAAATGACATAATGAACCTATTTAAACTCCCGAAACAAAAATTTAAACCCGATATCATCAAAGTCAACTCCTTGTTCAACTTATAAACATTCTAAACCTTCAAATTATCAACTTTCGCCGAATAGTGTTGAAACCTTCTAAAAATATCCAAATACAAATCCGGGTATACGCCCAAATCTAAATTCACCATGCGGACCTACTGGAACCATAAAAACTCCGATCTGAGGTCAAATACGCAAAAATCAAACTTGGTCAACTCTTTCAACTTCAAGCTTCTTAAGTGAGAATCATCCTTCTAAATCAATCTCGGACCACTCAAAAACCAATGCCGACGATACACGCAAGTCATAATATATCATACAAAGCTACTCGTGACCTCAAACTGCTCTACTGAATGCAAATACTCAAAACGGTCGGTCGGGTCGTCACAGTAGGGTACCGGGTGCCAGTCGCGGCCCTCTATTTTGGGTCGTGACAAATTATATAACCATCAGTATTGGCAATATTTTATAAGTCTTATTATGAATTAACTTCATGGTTCACTTGAACTCTTGCAGAGTACGACCACCCGAAGTGGACATGTTTCATACATCTCGTTGTAACTAAATTATTTACCACACGAAGTGATAATAAATATTTATTCATGCTTATAACCAGTAGTTGTAATATTTTCGTAGACTTGCTATAAGTTGAACAACAACATACCAAGTGTAATCTCACATAGTGGGGTCTGGGGAGGGTAGTGTATTCTCAGACCTTACCCCTACCTTGTGAAGATAGAGAGGTTGTTTCTAATAGATCCTCGACTCAGGAAAGAATAAACACAACAGTAATAAAAAGACAAATTGCAAGAAACAACAATAAGAAGTAATGGAAAAGAAGCATTAATGACACAAGATAGTAAGATGACCGAAATGAAAGACACAACAAGTAGTAATAGAAACCTAATACCAATAAAATACTAGAGTACGCACTCCTACTACTAAGGAAAACACTAGGCAGTCTGACCTTCTACCCTAATCCTCAACCTCCATACCTTCCTATCAAGGGTCATGTCCTCGATAAGCTGAAGCACCACCATATATTGCTTAATCACCTCTCCTCGGTACTTTTTTGGCCTACATCTACCTCTCCTTAGGCCCTCCAAGGACAACCTCTCACACCTCCTTACTGGGGTATCTTTGCCTCTCCTCCTCGCATATCCAAACCATCTAAGTCTCGCTTCCCGCATCTTGTCATCCATAAGGGTATGTCCATCTTGCCCCGAATAACTTCATTCCTAATTTTATCTATCCTAGTATGCCCGCATATCCATTTCAACATACTCATTTCTGCTACCTTCATCTTATGAATATGTGAGCTCTTGACTGGCCAATACTTATCCCCATAGAACATAGTCGGTCTGACCACCGCTCTGTAGAACTTTACTTTAGGCTTTGGTGACACCTTTTTATCACATAAAACATCATAAGTGAGCCTCCATCTCATCCATCCTGCACCAATACGATGTGTGATATCCTCGTCAATTTTCCCATTCCCCTGTATAATTGACTCAAGGTACTTGAAACTTCCTCTCTCAGGGATCACTTGTGAATCTAGCCCCATATCCACGTCCGCTTACTGAGTCGCACCATTAAACTTGCACTCCAAGTATTTTGCCTAGGCCCTGCTCAACTCGAAACTTTTAGAATCCAGGGTCTGCCTCCAAACCTCTAATCTTGCGTTAACATCGCCTTGCGTCTCGTCAATCAATACAATGTCATTTGAAAATAACATGAATCACGTAACCTTCCCTTAATAGTGGCAGGTTAGTGCATCCATCGTCAGGGAAAATAAAAAAGGCTGAGTGCTGACCTCTGGTGTAACCACATCATAACTGAAAAATGGTCTAAGTTCCTTCCCACTGTCCTCATCCGGGTCTTAGCTCCATCATATATATTCTTATTCGCCCTAATGTATGTAATATGTACACCTCTAGCCTCCAAATAACTCCATAAAACCTCCCTCGAAACTTTATCGTAAGCTTTTTCTAAGTCGATGAACAACATTTGTAAGTCTCTCTGCCTCTCCATATATAGCTCCATCAATCTCCTAACAAGGTGAATGGCTTTTTTAGTCAAATGCCTTATTCTGAATTGGTTTTTGAAAATACACACTCCTCCTCACTCTCAGCTCCACCACTCTCTCCCAGACTTTCATAGTATGGCTCGGCAACTTGATACTCTGATAGTTATTGCAATTTTAGATATTACCCTTGTTCTTGTACAAAGGGATCATCGTACTCCACCTTCACTCTTCGAGCATCTTTTTCGTCTTAAAAATTATACTAAATAACCTAGTGAGCCACTCCAAGCCCACCCTGTCGTGCTCTTCCAAAATGCCACGTGGATATTGTTTGGCCTTGTCCCTCTACCCCTGATCATCTTACAAATAACGCCCTCGACCTCCTCAACGTTTATACGCCTAGAATAACCTAAGTCACGACTACTCTTGGAGAGTTCCAAATCACCAAGCACAATGTTCATGTCTCCTTTTTCGTTCAAGAGTCTATGGAAGTAAGTCTGCCATCTCCGATGATTAAAGACTTACATTTAAAGATATATTAGAGAAAAATTCTCTATATTAACATGCATTTCTCAATTTTCTCTTGAAGTAGAAATTTTTTAAAAGAGGTTCTAAGCCATCACAATTTGATGTGGTTGATGCACGTTCAGATAATTATGTTCAATTCCTTGAAGGACGAGAACATTTGATAAATATCATAAATATAGATTCATTCCCTATAGCAAATATGGCAATATTAATAAAGCTTATAAATATGAACGTGCTCTTGGTTGTGAAGATATCACAACTCAACTCCAAAAGAGGTAATACAATTGACAGAAAATATCCTCAATATTTTATGCTTTAAATTTTCTCCTAAAGTAGTAAAATATTAAAATTTTCTTCTAAAGCAGAAAAACTTTGAAATAGCGTCTTCTTGTGCTTGAGAAAAATAAATGATCTATTGAAAGATGTGTATAAAGCATATTGTTTGATTATGTTTCATTTCCCCAAATGAATGAAGAAATACCACAACCCACTTCCCGAAAAGATAGAACAACAAAGGATATATATGTTATTTTGTGGTATGAACATTATTGCTGCACGTATCTGTCATACGTCTAAATATTTTGGATAATTTTATTAAGTATCATTTTAATGCAAAAGAATATATACCTTGTAGAACAATTTCTATTATAACTATATTGATATATTATGGTTAGTTGTTATTAATTTTTTTTAAGAAAATAACAACTCATGTTTCTTTTCTTGAAGGATGTAATGACTATGTGATTGCCTCTTTAATACAAATATTCATATGTTAATGCCTTTTCTCCGTGAATGAGATACTTTAAAGTTAGTAATGGAAATGTTGAAGTTTAGAACTTAATGTTACTTTTTGTCATCAACAACAACAACCTAGTGAGTTCCCACAAGTGGGGTATGGGGAGAGTAGAGTGTATGCAGACCTTGCCCCTACCCCAGAGAGTAGGGAGGCTTTTTGTGATTTATGAATTTAAAATTATTTTAAAATGTTCATTTGGTTACAGTTTTCATTTATGATACCGACAGTGTATAACTAAATTTTCTTTCATAATACCGGCAGTGTCTGAGCAATATTTGATAGTGCAATACTAATCAAGGGCTCTAGAAGAGCTAACTATTTGTGTAGAAGACTCATGACACCTGCCGTGTCCAACTAGCATGTTTGTTTAGAAGACTCATGGCACCAGAAGTGTCCGAACAATATTTGATTGCGGATAATAAATTGAAGGTTCCTGAAGAGCTTATATAAAAGTATGTCATTAATATTAGATTATTATGGTTGAAACACATATCGTAGTAAACCCGAAATATACTGATAAAATTAAGTATTATATTTGGAAGATAAAATATCTTCAAGCTACTATGAGTAAGAAAAATGTATATGAAAGGTACTGATTGGTATTACACAAATATAAGCATGATAAAATTATACGCCATAATAACCATAAGCTTATTGATAAAAAAGTTTATGCAGACATTTACTATAATAAATAGCACATGTCATGGTAACTTGAAGTTTACGGACACGAGTAAATTTATCGGTTGGCATAATCGATTTTTTCATTCTGGTCTAAATATGATGCACTCATTATAAATTCAGATAATCGTACATTGAAAACTAAGAAGATTCTTCCAGAATTCTCTTACTTGTTCTCATAATAAAAATGGTTATATCAGCTAAAGTTGGGATTAAGTCCTCTGAATTCTAGAACATATATAAAAAGATAAAGATGGGCACATTCACATGTCATATGAACTATTTATGTACTATATGATTTCAAATAGATACATATATGAGATGGTCACATGTGCATTTATTGTCAAACCGCAATTTGACATTTGTAAAATTTCTATACTCAATTAAGAGCATAATTTTCAGCAATCAAGACAGTTCATCTTGATAATACTTGTTTATATCCAAGCTAGTCTAGAATTAAATGCCTTTAACTATTAGTTAAACTATTATATATGAAAACAAAGTTTTTTGTATTGGTATGAGATTTTCTATATTGCATATAGCACACTTGTATGCATCGGGCTAATAAGTTATGATAGATCTTTCCCCTCATAATTGGTTCAGGGTCGGGAACTGAATATTTTTTATTTAATAACTTTTTATGTGTGATATATAATTAATTTCTTAATCAAAGTGCACAAAGATGAATTCCCCAAAGAAGATCGGGAATATATGTATCACGATCCCAAATTTTCCTCCGTAGGATATCGTGATGGCACCTAATCTCTACGACTAGGTAAGCCTATCAATGCTGAATAACAATAAAAATTTGAAATAAATAAATTTACAAATTCACATAATTTTAACTCCAAAAACCCGGTAGAAATAAGTCACAAGTTTCTAAGAATTTATCTTCAATGCCTTTATACATCAAGGTCTAAAGAAAATAAGGAAACAATATAATAAGGATAGAAGGGGACTCCGGAGTCTGCAAACGCTGGCTAATATACCTCGAAGTCTCCTTGTACGGCTAATTCATTGATGCCTGGTCTGATAAGAAGTATCTGGATCTTCACAAAAAGATGTGCAGAAGCGTAGTATGAGTACACCACAGCGGTAGCAAGTAAGTGTCAAGCCTAACCTCGGTAAAGTAGTGACGAGGTCAGGTCAGGCCCTACTGGAATAATAAAAGACATGGTGAAATATTTAATAATATAATAACAATAAATAACAACAACAACCTAGTATAATCCCACTAGTGGGGTCTGGGGAGGGTAGTGTATACGCAGACCTTACCCCTACCCTGGGGTAAAGAGGCTGTTTCCGATAGACCCTCTGCTCCCTCCCTCCCTCCAAGAACTCCCACCTTGCTCTTGGGGTGACTCGAACTCACAACCTCTTGGTTGAAAGTGGAGGGTGCTCACCACTAAAGCAACCCACTCTTGTCAATAACAATAAATAACAATGAAAATGAATTAAGTAAGTAGTATATCACCATTAAATTTTACAGAATAAGGGCAAATAATACCTCGCGAAAAGAAAACAGAAATTTACAACTTTAAGAAAAATCACAACAATAATCAAAGGCAAATGCAGCCATAAAGAAATATCAATAATGGCACTCCCGAAGTACCGCCTCGTAGTCCCAGATCATAAATAAATTCACAATATCTCATTTTCTTATATCACCGCGGGAGCCTTCACATTTAATTTTAAAGAAAATATTTTTTTTCCCGAAATAGCATCCCGCGTTTTAGCCACCCTTATCATACCATATGACTTCTAGTAGTTCCTCTACTAGCCACGCGTATTAAGCCACCCTTATCTCACTGCATACGATTCAACACCTAGACTTTATACCACCGCATGCGTATTAATATCATAATTTGTACCTCAAATGCCCAAATATTTCAAATTGCCAAAATAAATCAACAACAATACTTTTTCACAATAAATAGCTCACGGCTCCATCACAATGAGTACAAAAATCTCACAAAATATTTAGCAAAAATAATATTTCACAAATTTAACACCTGGTCTAAATATCAAATTTTTAAATGTAAAATACTTTATTTTTTAATAATATTTAAATTAAGAAATCCTTCCTTCAAGTAATGCACAGAAGAAAAAAATAGAGTTTCAACTAAACAGGTAAAACACTTAACAGGAACAGGTCAGGCAAATTTAAAATACGAAAATATATTAATGATTATGAATATAACAGAATAAAATAATTTAATTAATATGCAATAGTGCTCTACACAATTTAAAGATATAATCTTCCACATTTAGCTCGTGTACACAATCGTCACCTCGTGTACATGACTTTCAATACATCAACATTTTCATATCAATACCAATCCTAAGGGGAATTTCTCCCACACAAACCGAGTAAAACTCTACTCCAAAATGTCTTGGCCTCTCAAATCGATCTCCAAACATCCTGAATATAGCCACAAGCAGTACAATACAATCAATATAGGCTAAAGGAATCAATTCCACAAGAAAATATAAAATTATAACCAAAAATTCGAAATCGGCTCAAACCCGGCCTCTGGGC